CATAGTGCTGCTTTTCACAGCGAAGACATTTTATCATGTGGCTGTAAGTGCGATCCACAGTGAGGAACATGGACCTTTGACCATGGCCCTCTTTGTGCAATATTTCTGCACACAGTGAGAAATCCTACACTATGCGCAATGACTAGTGAACACAGCTGGGCAGTGTGATGAATCAAGGTCTCTCTCCCCCAATCGGTCCAAAACCCCCAAAAAATTCGGCCCATATTATTCTCTGTGTGTATATCTGTCTCTATAAATCTCTCTATATATCTATATATATATATATATATATATATATATATATATATATATATATATATATATATATATATATATATATATATATATATATATATATATATATATATATATATATATATATATATATATATATATATATATAAAAATATAACTTTTCTTTTTCTAAAATTGAGAAAGTGGTGAAATCGGAGCCCAAAATTGCTAAATACACCACATGTATGTTTAATAAACTTTAAACTCCAATTCCACAATTTACTTTTCATAACTCACCATTTTGTCCCTGCTGTCTTGCCTGCTTTCACTTTGGTACTAAGGGAGGAAAAAACATACACTGAGATCAAATGGAGGTTAAAAGATAAAATAATACAGCCATGATTGAATGTACGTACTTAATTTACGGGTGGGAAGAAAAAAAGAAAACATAGCATCACATCGTATCGGTTCAGTAGTAGATTCATTTAATGTTGAACAGGTTACCATTTTTACTAATTAATCAAATGAATGATGAATTAATGATGAATAATTAAATTGATTAGATAGTCTGAACAATGCAAAATGTGTTTCAATCAAGATTTGATCACCCATGTCCCTTTTTGAGAGAGGAAAAACCATGTACATCATTTCCAAAACTGAATATTGAATTGCAACTACATAGTCTGAGGGTCATGCTTTACCTCTTTCATGAAACTCTTTCCCAGCCGCACCATCTTCGCAAAAAGGATGGGATCATGAGACAGGTGAGGTCCCAGGTAGCATAACATGGTGAAGACATCCCTGGATAGATCATCAAAGTTTTCGGCGGGCTGGGGTGCATGTTTGTTCTGCAGAGGTGTTATCAAACTGCCTTTGGCACCTTTTGGTACTCCAGCCCTAAAACAATAAATTTAAGAAATAAATTTTGATTATAAACATTTATATAAAGACCACAAAATCCTAAAACACGTTTTACATGTTAAGAGCAAGTACAATAGGTATTAGGGCTGGGAATTATGATTAAAATATTATGTCTCTATATATGAATAGTTCAGGTGATATATATATATATATATATATATATATATATATATATATATATATATATATATATATATATATATATATATATATATATATATATATATATATATATATATATATATATATATATATATATATATATATATATATATATATATATATATATAGATAATGTTATATTTATTTATTTTAATTTAGTTTTTTTATTTTTTTTTGATTGAATTTTTATTTTTATTTTTTAAATTATTAATTGTAATT